TCAGCAGGAGCAGGGCAGAAGCCCTGAGCACCAGCAGGCATGCCCTGGCTCTGGAACTTCTGAAAATTGTCAAATGTAGCTCTAATGGTCAGTTTGTTTGGCCACCCTGTATAACTGTATCATGCATAAAACTTCCTGAAGGACACACAGACCACAGGCACAACCCAAATTAGCTCAGTTATTTCCACATCCACTGAATTGCGCTGTAGTGGCATTGGAAAAGTACTTACACTCTACGAAGTAAGAGTTGGCATCAATCTTCCAGATAATCTGACCACGATGAGAGCCATTGACCCCACGGTTTTTGTAGTCCAGAAAGTTTTCAGACAAGACTTCATCTACACACAGAAAAAATGATCTCATTATCTGTCCATCAACACAGCTAAGCAAATTCACCTATTCTTAAAACACTAGCTTTGTTTTGAGATCATTTAAAATGTACAATCATATAAAACTCTTAAAAATCACAAGAGTTGAACTAACCAGCATCAAACCATACCCAAATTAAAAAAGAAAATCAGTCAGCTGAATGAAGAGAATGGGAACAAAAACAACAATGTAGCACTCAACCCACCTCCCAAAATATGGAGAATGAATCTGTATGGGCATTTGCACCCATCAGCAGGATAGCTAATAGATGTATTGGTGGTTCTTACAGCAAGCAGGGATGTTACATTTGAGGTAATCCAGAACAAGGGATTACAAAACCTGATGCCTCTCCACAGATATTACCCAAGTCCCTCTCATTTAAATCAAAGGATTCATAGCTAAGTGATATCCGTTGATTGTAATTATGTCTCAGTGGAAGACGTAGCAAATCCCAGATGATCAAGGTCATTTTAGAATAATGGTGTATCTCTCAGTAATCTATTGCAGAATAGTGATAGAAATGTAGCATAGATAATCTATTGCAGGTTATCTAAAACACTGAGGCTGTCTACACTGCAGGCGTCTTGCGAAAGAAGCTTTTTGCAGAAGAGATCTTCCACAAAAACTTCTTGTACAAGAGAGTATCCACACTGCAAAAGTGCATGGGAAAAGTGATACGCTTTTGTGCAAGAGAGCATCCAGACTGCATGGACGCTCTCTCACAAGAAAGCTCTGACTGCCATTAACAGAATGGCCACCAGGGCACCTGTGCTTGTTTCAATAGGCTGTTTTTGTGTAAAAGAACCCTGCTGCCCTTCCACAGCCATCTTTTTGCTCAATAACTCTTGCGCCAAAAAGAGTTATTCCTTGTAGAAAGAGGAATACCTATACCATAAAACCCCCTCTGTTCTATCAACTCACTGTAAATTTTCTTGAGCAAAAATGCGCTTGAGGTGTGGATGCTCCACGTGTTTTTGTGGAAAAACGGCTGGTTTTGCGCAAAAACTCTGTAGTCTGAGAGACTGAGGACCATGTAGGCAACTTGATAGGACTCCATGGGCCACATTTGGAACTTCCCAAGACTATGAAGGCCACACTTCTTACATCTACATAGACATTTACACTGGTTTTAGAATTAAAAAACATACAGCCACAATATCTGGCTTCTATTTCCATTTATGGATGACTAGAAATTGTTTGTTAATTGAAGTCACTATAAGTGAAATCCAGAATCTATTTACACACCACTAGAGGGCAATAACAATCTTAGGTTCTGCCCTGTGTCTGTCATTTGTGTCCAGGAATGGAAAGGGCCAAAGTAAGGACAACAGATGGCCTGTGCTGCTTCCCCATGCCTTGGCCTGATTACTCAAGCTTTTTGTGAATGAAATGATTTACACATTAGTGACCTGTCAATTTTCTTTGTGGGAAGAAGAGTTCTCCCTCAACAGAGACCAATGAATTCATTCCCATATTTTTCTTTCCAACAACAAAGAAGAAGTTTTAATCTGAGTAAATTCTTATCCAGTGGCTCTTACAGCTGAAGATATTTAAATGTTAGGTTAGCAAAGGCTAAGCTGATTAATGATGATGGTAAAGCTGTGGGAAGACAAGCAGCAGTAAAGTTCCGAGTTCACATTCAGCCCATCAACTCGGTGACCTGAGGCCAGCCATTTGATTTGCTACTGTCTGGGTCAACTCAGCTGTAAAACTGAGAAACCACAGAAAACTAGATATTTTGTCTGAGTTGAGCTAAACAATGATGTAAATCATTAAGTAAAGAGTATTAATTTGATAAGACAAGTGTATGTCATTAGTCAACTTCACAGATCACTAGAAGTATATCACGCTATTGACCATTCAAAGGTCCAGTCATGTAGCTGTTTCTTTTGAAGAACTGCCCATTGTGACTTCAGTGACGGCTAGAGGATCTAGCTCCCTCCCCCCAAAATAAAGACCTAAGTGGTGAAGCAGCACAGGACAAATGCCAGTGTTATTTCTTTGGTTTCATGCAGAAGATTTTTGCAAGGAGCAAGATAAATGGTCTACCAACTGTAAACTCTTTGGTGACATTCCCTTGGGGGATTTACAAAGGAAATCCTTTTAAAGAGGTCATTAATGACTGTGATGGATAATTATAAAAAGCAATGCCATCTACATTTTCCCTTTGCTGATTTGCTAATAAGCAGTAATTATTTCACTACCTCAGTTTCATACACTGTATGGAAATGGAGAAGTTGCAATGTAATAAAATGTAATATTTCCATGGTCCACCTGCAATTGCCCCAGTAAAAGTAGCATAATATTCTGTGGGATGATATCCCTATTCTTAATTTACAATTTCCATTTATGATCCTTTTCATTATCCAAAATGTATATTAAAAACAGAACAACCATCATTCCATCTGGATATGCAAGATTTTGTAATGAAATAGAAACAAATTTGATTATGTGTATCACCTCCCACTATTCATGAATCAAGAGTGATTTGAAACCTGAACCTTCAACACTTCAGCACAGACATCTCACAATAACTCTATAGGGCTAACGTTAGTTGGAAGCATGAGAAGTCTTTTTTCCAATAGAGGGGCTGCTGGGCCCAGGGGCTTGGTCAGACGTGTGGTCAGGAATTCAGGCTCCCTTGTCCCCTTTTCCCCTCACCCTAGAAGTTGGAGGAGCTATCGCCCCTTGTGTTACCTCGAGGGGTAATAATGTGGGGAATGAGGGCTGTCCATTGGTATCAGGGGGTATATGAATCTTTCTCTCTCCCCTCCTTGATATAGGGGGGAAGTTTCTGCTCCCTCTTGTGCCTGTGTGTGTGTGTGTGTATGAGAGAGAGAGAGAGAGAGAGAGAGAGAGAGATAGGAAATGTGCCACTTGAACATAGCATATCCTAATCCCCACCATCAACCTCAGCATGGACCAATCTACACGGGAGGTCCATTTCCTGGACACCACGATACAAATAAGTGACGGTCATATCAATACCACCCTATACAGAAAACCTACCGACCGCTATACTTACCTGCATGCCTCCAGTTTCCATCCCGGACACACCACACGATCCATTGTTTACAGCCAAGCACTGAGGTACAACCGCATATGCTCCAACCCCTCAGACAGAGACCTACACCTACAAGACCTTCAACAAGCATTCTGTAAACTGCGATACCCACACGAGGAAGTGAGGAGACAGATTGACAGAGCCAGACGTGTACCCAGAAGCCTCCTGCTACGGGACAAGCCCAAGAAAGAAACCAACAGAACACCACTGGCCATCACCTACAGTCCCCAGCTAAAACCTCTCCAACGCATCATTAGTGATCTTCAGCCCATCCTGGACAATGATCCCTCGCTCTCACAGGCCTTGGGAGGTAGGCCGGTCCTTGCCCACAGACAACCCGCCAACCTGAAGCATATTCTCACCAGCAACTACACACCGCACCATAATAACTCGAACTCAGGAACCAATCCTTGCAACAAACCTCGGTGCCAACTCTGCCCACATATATACACCAGCAACACCATCACAGGACCTAACCAGATCAGCCATACTGTCACTGGTACATTCTCCTGCACATCCACCAACGTAATATATGCCATCATGTGCCAACAATGCCCCACTGCTATATACATCGGCCAAACAGGACAGTCCCTACGTAAAAGAATCAATGGACACAAATCTGATATTAGGAATGGCAACATACAAAAACCTGTAGGGGAACACTTCAATCTTCCTGGACACACAATTGCAGATCTAAAAGTAGCTATCCTGCAGCAAAAAAACTTCAGGACCAGACTTCAAAGAGAAACTGCTGAGCTACAGTTCATCTTTAAGTTTGACACAATCAACTCTGGATTAAACAAAGACTGTGAATGGCTTGCTAACTACAAAAGCAGCTTCTATTCTCTTGGAATTCACACCTCCAGATCAGCTGCTAGAAGTGGGCCTCATCCTCCTTGATTGGATCCACCTGGTCATCTCCAGCCTGATCCTGGCCTGCATATTTATACCTGCCTCTGGAAATTTCCACTACATGCATCTGACGAAGTGGGTCTTTGCCCACGAAAGCTTATGCTCCTACACTTCAGTTAGTCTATAAGGTGCCACAGGACTCCTCGTCGCTTTTGCAGATTCAGACTAACACGGCTATCCCTCTGATACATGATTAAGTGAAGTGACCTTAAAGCACGCTATATACTTTACCTCCCGAAAGTAAATGGTGAAATACTTTGATTTAGTTCCACACAAAAATCATAGCAAAGTTAATGCTCTTGCCTTTCATATTTTTCAACCAGGTGCTCAGGGATTTTGAGATTTTTTCTAATAAAATATCACAAGGCACTTTCTTTTCCTTTTTTAAATTTGAGAATATAGTGTATCCTAATTTTTCTCACCCTATTAAGGTGATGGAGACATCTTCTGGACTTCTTGCTGAAGTACTTTTCTGATGCATAGCTGTCTCTCTGCTGGTCATTCAGCAGAGCCATACAGGCTTCAGCATCAGCAAAAGAGGGATTCATTTGAGGGATGCATCAAAAGGACACAGTACCTTGTGCAAAGGGCAAGGGGATAGTCTCCATAGAGACTATTTGGGCCAGGTGCAGCAAGGAACATACATAACTGTCTTAACTATAGGCTATAGTTGGATATAGTATAGCTATATTGGGTATAGCTCCAACCAAGTGTTAGTGCTCTATGCTGCCATGCTTAATACCTTGGTCTCTTATTCTCCATGCCAGCGGAGACTGGGGAGTACTGCAGAGCATAATGTAAAGCCATAAGGAGATGGGCATGCTTTGTGTTTCTAGGTTATTAAGGAGTGTCTTCCGTGGCCAATTGGCCTTAGTAAGCACCAAAAGACTGCTTATTTTATGGTAACTTAAGGTTACCACTATATAACAACAGAGGTTCCATTTTATGTTTTGATCCCTTGTGAATAAAAAATGTTCCACTACAAAAATTAGG